CAAGTATAATAAACAATTAATGTGTAACCTGCCGAAACCCTGCTGATTGATTTCTGGAGGATTTTTGGCAAGCAACCTTAAGTCTGGTGGTGAGGTGTTCCATTCAACAGGGAATTTCATAGGTCTTAAACTGCCTTCGACAACTGTTTTGATTTTTAAATAATAATTTACAACAATTACATGTCCCCCAATTATTTAATTGGTCCTGTAATCATTCGTAGTACAAATGTTCACTTTGTTGCATGCCCAGCCAATCCAAGGGTCTACAACAAGGGTTAACCTTACTATTTGAGACGTCGATCCTAAGGTTAAACCTCTTGGATTGGGTGAGCATGCCCCATATATTCTAAATTAATATATTTACTTACCCCTAGGAAAAAACCCCTTTATTATTATAATGGGTGATTTTTTTTCCTTTTCTGATAATATATATTATATGCATTAAGACAAATATGCACACAATTTAAAACCAAAAATCTGCACGCCATAGTACTTACTATTACAGTATATATTAATATTAATATACATATCCACAAAATGTAAAATATGCATGCGTATACTCGGAAAACTTTTCTAATGTTGTCGTTGAACATATTTTTCACAGCAGCTAAAACACAAAATCATATTCAAACTTCTGCTTTACATGTGTTATTTACGATGGACCAGATAGTGAAGTTTTGAATTTTGATAGTCTGTGTGTGCACACGTGCATTTAAAATGCATGCATAGATGTGTATATATCTTATAATATCTGAGAAACATATTATGGCATTATTTGAAAAAGAACAAACGAACATATTAAATTCGATGATGATAAATTATTTCTTGAAGAAACAACTGTTAAGTGGCCATGTAAATCAGGTAATTTTGTTTGATACAGCATTTTAACGCTATAATATATTTATTCCATGATGCCATTTATTCAAGTCTGCGCATGCATATACATAGAAAATCGAAACTTAAAGAGTTATCGCGCAAGTTTTTAATATTATAATTTGAATACTTTACTTTGTATCTTATAGACCAGGGTATTGGGACATTTATACTTGACCAAAGAAATCTCATACAATAATAAAACGCTTGATAATATTTTGGTTTCATTTGCTGTAAATGAATTTATTAAAGCCACTTTTATTCTTCTTCAATAATGTATATTTCGTTTAACTTAAAAAGGACATGATTTCGGCATCATTTAAAAAAACTCAACCAATCAAAAACGATAAAATTAACGATCAAATTTAACATATTTAAAATAACGTGAATCAATATATGAATAAATAAGTTTGTAAATTAAGCTTGGTGAATCCTTCTTTTGCTTTTCTCTCTATTTCGTGAGCTTCTTCTGTATTTCACGTATTTCCTTTTATGTTGTTTGATATTGAATATGTACTGCATTAATATTATCAATCAATTCAATCAATCAATCGTCCCGATTATTAATCAATTTCAGTGTGTCTCTCCTTTCTCCTGGATCTTAGTACCCGTCTATCTTTTTTTTATCTAGAATGGATTTGTGTGTGCCCGCTCAATTGTTTTTTTTTTGAACCATCTTAGCTTGTGTTCTATGTATCATATTAAAAGAAATAACCAAACACAGCCGTCATAAGTTTTGCATGGCTTCTCAACTTCATAGTATTAAGATATAATTCATAGAATTGTCATAGAATGTTTCATTGCTGAATTCTTGTATTATGCTAATATATCATTCGTTAGATGTTTAAAGCCTTTTTAAGTTACAAATTGTGATATGTAAAAAGTATATTATTTAAATTAATAAGAAATTCTATAATCGTTTTTTTCTAAAACTAATTCACGTCTCTTTTTCACAGACATAATAATATTTTAACTGTCTACTGAGGCATTCTTCAACCATAAATTGCTTCAATTCATCAAATTTTTAAGCGTTCTTCTTTACCACATGTTCTCCATCGGATTGAGATCAGGTCTATTGAATGGCCAGTCAATCAAGTCAATCCTATTCTCAGCAATGTAATCTTCGCAAAACGTGATGTTTGCTTCGGATTATCGCAAACGCCAGTTTCTATCATGCGACCTTTGTGGAGCAGGTAAAAGCTAGTTCTGCAATATGTTAACATGTAAGGCCCAACCATGATATCAATGAAATTCCTCTCCATGTCATTACTTTTTGCCGTGATTTTGGTAATCTACAAACTGGCATTTATGCCACCAATGAAAAGGATCAAATGCTATTTTATCTGTAAGGACTTACGACTCCACTTGTCGTTCAAATGAGCTTTACCCGAGCTTCAAAGTGACGTGTAGTTAGTATCGGGGTACGGAACTTTTGTAACCTTTTTCTCATATGTCATTAAACAGTAAATTGTGAAATTGACACATTATGCGTTTAACTGCAAATTGGTGTGTTGAAACAGCGAATAACTTGTCCAATAAAACGTGGCAAGTTTTGTGTAACCTTATAAGGAAGACCCTTTGTGTTCAATAGAACGGATTCTTTAATTTTTCTCAATGGCACAAAGGAATATATGTTTGTCTTCCTTTTGTGAATGGATACCATTCATCCAAAAATGCAAAATGGTTTACGTTATGCTTCTAATTTTGTGTTAGCAAACATGTAAATCATCTAACTACATTTACTATTATTAAAAAAAATGGGAATCTTTTTGACAACTTTGAATAATTTTACGTCACAACCACCATTTTTTTGAATCACACTGCATATTCACATGTAGTTAATCTCTAAGCCCAAAAGTTTTAGTTGGACACTAACTATAAGTTTTAATTTGATAGGCTAATTTATTTATACATCTTATATTAATATACTCAGTGACGTAACTTAAAAATTACCTAAACCATGGGTAAACTCCTAAACTGTGGTTAAATTGTCAAACCATGACCAAAGTTTTATGATAAATAAAACGGATTTATCGAAGTACCGTCCAATCGTATGCCGGACATGTGATCTATATAGTCTCTTACGTTTTGTATTTTTTATTAATATTTTATATTTGCATTCCTATTATTTATTTATATTTATTAAAAAAGATTATGATCATCATAAAAATAATTCTTTTTTTGACCTAATTCGGCTTGTAATAATAAAACAAATCAATTCTTTTTTTTTGTTCAATAAAACAACCCGCAGTTTAAGTTTCGCCAACTTCGCTGCAAGATTAGGCCTAAACTATGGTTAGTTCCCGGCCATCATCCGCTAGCCTTGTGTCTTTAATTATGTATCTATTGCATCACGAATCTCCTTGAGTTACGTCTTGAGTCACGAATTGCGTCCTGCATCCCTTGCATCATGAATTGTGTTTTGCGTCACGCATAACACCAATTGCAGCTTTTAAACCATTACAACTGTTTCGCCTTTTATATTTAATTAATTTTATTATCTGAATTTATGTAAATCACAAAATTTTTTTATTAACCCAAAATCAACCCGAACCCGACCCGTCAGGAGCTTTATTATTATACATATTCACCCACCAATTCTATTTATTATAGATATAAGGAAATTCCATTTATTTTATTATATATATATTCATCCATTAACTACAGATGTAAGAAAGTTCAGATTTATTTCTCAATAATTCATATATTAATACAATCAAATATTTGAGGTGTGGTATTGTTGTTGTTGCTGTTCTTGTTGATCATGATTTTGCTGCTGCTGCTGTTATTATTGTTGTAATTATTGTAATTATAATTGTTGTTGTTGTTTTTGTTGTTCTTGCAGTTGTTGTAAGTGTTGAATTTCCTGTTGAATTTCAGTGTAATGGGCCATTAACCATAAAATAATTGTCAATTGACGTATTTAATGTTCTTGATCAGACAATAGTGGTGGTAGTTGTAGTAGTTGTTTCTTGTTGGCCATGATTTATGCCATGGTCTAATTGCTTGTTATGGTACAGTTCTGCTGTCTATGGTAATTTGTGCACTGTCTTCTTCGAAACATCTGACGAAAAGCTCACACACTTTCTTTTCTTTCCAGGAGTTGATGATTTTATTCCATTTGCTTTTAAATCACCATTTAAATGCTCATTGATGTTTATTGTTTATTTTGTTGCTTCAGAAGGTTCTCTACAAAGTTTGTATATAACTAGATCTTAACTAATGGCTACTAACATTACTCTAATAACACTTGCCTTGAAGTTTCTTTAACTTTACTTGTTCGTTATTTTTTCTGGCGAATCTATCCGACATTTTTAAAATTAATAAATTAATAATAATAATAACATTGCTTGGTCTGAATTCATTTCGTCGAAAGTTTGTTTCATCGAAAGTTCATTTCGTCGAAAATTATTTCGTCACAAAAAAAAAACTTCATTAAACAAATTTTTCCTCACACTTCCCACACAACCCGCTTTCCTCACCTAATTTCTTAAATAATTTCTCACACTCCTCACATCTAACTCGTTCGGTCTCTGGCTCGAGGATGAAATAATTTTCGACGAAATGGGTGTCGACGAAATGATTGTCGACGAAATAATTCTCAACGAAGTAAATGCGACCGTTGCATATTAAATATATAAATCTAAAATGTTGAAATTATTGATAATGATGATGATATAGATTTTAAATAAAATATTGTATAATCATAATGAATAAAATAAATGTATTCATTTATTATTATGTCACAAATTCCATGCCTTATGCGCGGAACCAAAAACGTACCTTTTCAGTGTGTTACAATTTAAAATGCACCTTTTACTTTTCAAATTCTGTGCTGATTCCGTACCAATTCAATTTCACACTAATACTAAATTTGAATAGGGAAATTTTTTCAAAACCGTAAATACGTTAATTTACATTTTTAAGAACGTATTTAACACACGTTAATTCCGTATTTTATTTTTCATGGGGTCAATAAAGCACATATGTGCAACTTTTATTTCATAGCATGAAGGAATTATTAAATTATGTATAAAAAAATTCCAAATAAATAAATCATGATAAGGGTTTTTGCTAGGATCGGGTTTTTCAAACCCTTTTTTGCCCAATGATATTAATTTTTTTACCTATTGTGATGGGCCAACTGTGTTTGCCTCTCCATATTCCAGTACATTTATTATTACTTTACCAAGATCCATTTGTTGAACGACATGTCTAATTTTAATCAATGAATTGAAAGCATCTACATTTCTAAGGCTTGCTAAAAGTATGTAGAATATAATTATTAGACCAAACATGGCTATCAAGTACTGTGTAGCAAACTGTACATCATAGCATGTTTTGTTCACCGTAAATTGAGTGGTACCAACGATTTTAGCCTGGTTGGTAGGAGTCACCATATTGATCATAATATCATTCCACTGGCGTTTGTACATACCACTTATATCCTTTTCAGTTAATCCCTCTTCTTTCCATTGTTGTAATAACGCCAAATTTCCAATCCCATCTCCTCGATAACCTTTTAAACTATCCTCAAGCTTACGCATCATGTCAACTGCAATAACAGGAGCAGAAGCAGCATTTGCATCGATATCCCATATGTTGGAAGTTCCTGCTGGTAACAAAAGAGTATTTTCACTTACTAAAAAACTATTATTAGGAAGTTTTTCTCCAAATTCAACTCCTCCCCACCAAGGATTCATTTCAGCAATATTAAGGGTTCCCTTTTAAATATACCATTGTGCTGGGATAGTTTGCACATCTGTTATATTAATTGCTCCTGTTGTACTGGATTGCAATTTGATGGTCTTTACACTTGCTTCAACTACACTAGCACAGCTGTACAAAGTTTGTTCAATTCCTCATGTAGTATGTATGGGAAATCCAAGTAATATCCAGCAGTCAACACCAACTACATTTTTTGTAAGATTGTCTACTTTACCATATCATTCACACTCAATTAAAGCATACAAGCTAAGTGTTGAGTTAAATTTAACATCAGAATCAAAATAACTATTAAGTGATTTTCCTGAATTAACAGTTTTTGGCTCCTCAAAATTAACTTTAAGAACAGGTGACTCAAAAAAAGTTCCATTTGCTGTCATATTTAATTCTTGCATAAGAAGAGATTGTATAAAACGACTATACCAGTTGCTTTTTGCTGGAAGATTGGTTGATTGGTCTCAATCATTGATTGTACTTATATATGGTGAATTTATATCAGTGTTGTTAATAACCACATAGCCTATCCAATCAGTAAACAAAGAGGAGGTATTGTTTTCCCATGAAATTATTGTGAGATTGGTTGAATGACAACTGACATTGAATAGTTGTATAGGAGTGATCGAAGTAAGCATTAAGGACAAGATCTATGAACAAAACATACTAACAAACGTTTTATCAACTATTCAATAGTTTGTGTAGGAGCGATCGAAGTAAGCATTAAGGACAAGATCTATGAACAAAACATACTAACAAATGTTTTATCAATTATTCAATAGTTGTATAGGAGTGATCGAAGTAAGCATTAAGGACAAGATCTATGAACAAAACATACTAAGGAACGTTTTATCAACTATTCAATAATTGTGTAGGAGTGATCGAAGTAAGCATTAAGGACAAAATCTATGAACAAAACATACTAACAAACGTTTTATCAATTATTCAATAGTTGTATAGGAGTGATTGAAGTAAGCATTAAGGACAAGATCTATGAACAAAATACACTAACAAACGTTTTATCAATTATTCAATAGTTTGTATAGAGTGATTGAAGTAAGCATTAAGGACAAGGTTTATGAACAAAACATACTAACAAACATTTTATCAATTATTCAAGCATTAAGGACAAGATCTATGAACAAAACATACTAAGGAACGTTTTATCAACTATTCAATAATTGTATAGGAGTGATCGAAGTAAGCATCAAGGACAAGATCTATGAACAAAACATACTAACAAACGTTTTATCAACTATGCAATAATTGTATATATAGGAGTGATCGAAGTAAGCATTAAGGACAACCCAAACGTAAATTCATATTAGTTGGCGATAGCGGTGAGATCTATGAACAAAACATACTAACGAACGTTTTATCAACTATTCAATAATTGTATAGGGGTGATCGAAGTAAGCATTAAGGACAAGATCTATGAACAAAACATACTAAGGAACGTTTTATCAACTATTCAATAGTTGTATAGGAGTGATTGAAGTAAGCATTAAGGACAAGATCTATGAACAAAACATACTAACGAACGTTTTATCAATTATTCAATAGTTTGTGTAGGAGTGATCGAAGTAAGCAATAAGGACAAGATCTATGAGCAAAACATACTAACAAATGTTTTATCAATTATTCAATAGTTGTATAGGAGTGATCGAAAATATACTAACAAACGTTTTATCAATCATTCAATAGTTATGTTTATTATTTATTTATGTATATAAATTTCTCTTTTATTTTAACTTATATTTAATAACATCACTATGATAAATAATTAAATGAATAAAGTCAGAGATAAAACACCTTTTAATTTAATCATCATTGTTGCTTGTTTATTATTCTAATCATTATTTATGTATATAGGTAAAGAAAAATTTTAAAATCTATTTATTTATTATATTTACTTTTAAAATAAATGATTTTACTATAAAAGACATACCTAAGTGATCAAAAATCTGTAAATATTCATAATAATGTAATGTTTGGACATTTATTTCTGCTTATACTTGCAATTGGACGCGTCAAACAAAATTTTACGCATATGAATATAAAGGCAAAATTTGACTTTGAGGGTCAGATTATTTTCGGTTTTATTAACAACCTGCTTTAAGATTTTTCATAAAATAGATACATATGATAAAGAAATTATATCTCAAATTTGGTGGTGGTTGCTACACAGCAAGGGTATCAAACGAGGGTGTGAAGACATTCGATTATAAAATTTTACTATGTAAATTCGAATTTTACTATGATGCAGATCATCCAAATTTTACTATGTTTTACAACCTCCTATAGATCGGCGGGAAATGTCCTGTGACTGATACTAATACTGAAAAGGTGCCTTTTGATTCCGTATATAAAATACGGAATAGGTATGGAATTTACAACATACTGAAAAGGTACTTTTTGATCCCGTCTATAAGGTACGGAATAGGGTATGGAATTTGCAACATACTGAAAAGGTATGTTTTGATCCCGCATATAAGGTACGGAATAGGTACATATTAGTACTCTCACCTATATTATTGAATGATTGATAAAACATTCGTTTTGCAAACTTGACTAACACTTACTTCGCCTATATAATTATTGAATAATTGATAAATATTTATTTTGCAAGTTTCATAGATCTTGACTAATACTTACTTCGCCTATATAATATTAAATAATTGACAATAATAAAACATTGATTAATATATTTATAAACAGCTTTGTAGATCTCAACTTTAATCCTTACTTCAATCAAACCCACCTATATAATTATTGAATAATTGATAACATTCAGTTTGCAAGTTTCATAGATCTCGACTACTTTAATATTTACTTCAATCAAACCCGCCTATATAATTGATAAACATTCGTTTTGCAAACTTCATAGATCTTGACTTTGACACTTGCTTCAATCAAACCTGCCTATATAATTATTCGAATAAATTGATAATAATAAAATGTTGATAAATATATTTTAACTACTTTAATACTTACTTCGATCAAACCTGTCAATATAATTGTTGAATAATTGATAAACATTCATTTTGCAAACTTCATAGATCTTGACTAAAATTTACTTCGATCAAACCCGCCTATATATATCACATGGAATATTACCAAATAGTCTACTAAGGTAAACCTGGATTCCAAAGCTGATATTCATATTTCAAGTTCCTAATCACAAATGGATAACCTTTTTTTTCAAATTTCACAAAGTTTTTCATGTGTCATTTCTCCATTATCCTATCAAAGTTGATCATAACTCTCATGTAAGTTGTAATAAATTTCTAAATCTATATATCCATCGGTTCCATTAAATAATCCTTATTATTGTTGATGGTGCTGTTTATAGTAATAGATAATCTTCCATAAAAAAAATTTTTCAGTTATTATAAAGTCGTCACTGTTGCTAGATTTATCTAATGATAGTTAATCTGGTCCAGACTTGATAAAAGCAGGAAAAGTTACAGTCAGTTCAAAAATTCTTTAGTAGTCATTGACTCTAAAGATTTTGTAGATTTTGTTGATCTTATTGACTTTATAGGTTTTTTTAAATATTACCAATTTCATTGGTTTTGTTGATTCAGTCAACTCTATAGCAGTTATGGATTTATTTAGTCCAGCATTAAGCAAATCAGAATTATTTTCATTAATTATTGGATCATCTTTAAGTAATTTGAATGTTTCCCTGTAAAATTTCTCAATTTCTGGATGTTGATAGAAACAAATACCCAACATATGTTTTTTTTTTCATGTCTATGTCTGAAAGAACATTTACCAAGTGTCAAAAAGGTTTCTGGTGACAAATCATCCCACTTGTCATAACATGTAATACTCATTTCTCTATCACACCATGCATATCAAAACCCACTAAAAATTATGTATTGATAAATATCACATAATTGTCTACCATTTGTTCTGATATTTTTCAATATGGAGATTTATCTATATGAGAAAATTCATTCTAAAAGTAGAGGCTATTAAATCTAATTTTAATATTTCAAAGAACATATTAATTTTTTTAAAAATATTATCACTGTTTAAGTCATGATAGTAGTTATATCTAATATATATTGTCAATCCTCTTGACTTAATGGGTTTCTCTTGATTCTAGCATTGGAGCAGGTTTCTGATCTGAAATAAAATTTGAACCTTCTATTATTTCATATGTTACAGGATCAATGTCAAAATACTCAAGATTTTTAAAATCTGCATCTATCTGATTTCTTGTTTACATTCCAACAAAAAATAAACAAGATTTTTTATAAATGAACCATCTGATTAAATAGATAAATAATTGATAAATTATAAATTTATTATGTTTACATGCTTGATATTGATTAAATTGTAATTTTCTTGAACAAGTACATTTCTCTGGTTTATAATCTTTCCTATTGTTGAAGTAAGATATAATTTCTTTTTGGACGTTTGTTAGGTATTAGGAGTTGAACACTTCTGCCTCAATTTTACGTTTAGTCAATGTTACAAGACTTTGATCTAAAATTTCAGTATGGTTTGTAACTATGTTATTGTTGTCTATGTTTATTGTTGTTGTTATTAATTGTCGTATTCGCACAATCAACTTATTATTATTATTTATTATTATTGTTCTTCGAATTCCGGGTTTTGGTTTTAAAATAATATATAAAACTTAAAAAAGGCAGTGACAGGTGGGTGTACAATTCAATTTAGCACATGCTGATACCAATACATCTTTTGCATCAATCTAACAAAAAAAAAAAAAAAATGGGAATTCTTGAAAAGATTGCTGAAATTGAAAGAGAAATATCTCGTACTCAAAAAAATAAAGGTAGAACATTTGTTTTAATTATAATAAAATTTTGATTATTGCTTTTTAATTATGACTATGATGCATATATATATTATTAATATATACATATATTCATTTTAGCAACTGAATATCACCTTGGCTTATTAAAAGCAAAACTAGCAAAATATAGAGTGCAGCTTTTGGAACCATCAAAGGGCTCTAGTGCAAAAGTAAGACAAACATGCGAAAAATTAAGAAAATGTTATTATTTTTATATTTACTTTTATTACTGTAACTTTTTAAGATTAGTTAACCAGCCAAACTTATTGATTTACAATCCAATTCATCATCATCAGGGTGAAGGGTTCGATGTTATGAAATCTGGGGATGCACGAGTTGCATTGATTGGATTTCCTTCAGTTGGTAAATCAACTTTACTTAATCGACTCACCAAGACTCATTCTGAAGCTGGTGCATATGAATTCACTACTTTAACATGTATCCCGGGCAAGATTGAATACAATGGAGCAAATATTCAATTACTTGATTTACCTGGAATTATTGAAGGAGCTTCACAAGGTTCAAAAATAAATAAATAAGCATATATATATTTATGTGTGTATTTTTAATTAATCATAAGTTTGTCATGCCTCGTACTTAATAATAATAATAACAATTTCTGTATTGAAATAGGTAAAGGTAGAGGAAGACAAGTAATTGCTGTTGCAAGGACTGCAGATTTAATATTGATTATGTTGGATGCTACAAAAACCACACAACAAAAGTAATTAAATAAATTAATTAAATAAATTCAAGTATTGAAATATTTTAATTACATATTCTAATAACATTAATATAATGCAATATTATTTTAATTGATTAATCATAGGATGTTATTAGAACGTGAATTAGAAGCTGTGGGGATTAGATTAAATAAAGAAAAACCAAATGTTTATTTCAAGGTTAAGAAAGGTGGTGGCATTAGCTTTAATGCCACTGTTAAATTAAATCATTTAAATGAAAAAATGGTTTATCATATTTTACATGATTACAGTATCCTTTTATATAAAATAATATGTTTATTTAATCCTTATAATAAAATAATATTGTTTTTAATTATATATAAAATTATTTTTACTTCAAGAAATCTTTAATGCAGAAGTTTTGGTTAGAGAAGATGTTACAGTAGATGAATTTATTGATGTGGTATTGGGGAATCGTAAATATATTAACTGTTTATATGTACATATATATTGCATATTATTATTATTATTATTATTTATATATCAAATCAATCAACCAATCTATTAATCAAGACATCATTATTATTTAGTGCTATAACAAGATTGATTCTATTACTTTGGAAGAATTGGATAAATTAGCTCATGAGCCTAATTCATTAGTCATTAGGTTATTATTGTTTATTCAATTGCAATGATAAACCATTTTGCATTTAATCTTTTTAATTTCTTATGAATTTTTTAATATAAATTTATCATTTATTCATTCATTAGTTGTGAAATGGATTTGAACCTTGATTTTCTTGTTGATCAGATTTGGAAGAATTTAAATTTATTAAGAGTTTACACTAAAAAAAGAGGAGGTAGTATTTTTCTAATGTACATGTGATTGATTCTGGTGCCTTGATATTAATAAAGGAGATAATTTTATAATCTTATACAGAATATCCTGATTTTGGGAGTGGTTTGATTGTTAGGAGAGGTGCAACTGTTGAACATGTGGTGAGTTAAAGAAATTTTAAATATCAAATTTATCCTTATACTTTTAACATATAATAATAAAATTATTTATTTTTATTTAGTGTCATGTAATTCATCGTTCTTTAGTTGATGAATTCAAATATGCTTTGGTTTGGGTAATGAATGATTATAAAAATTTCAAAAAAAAAAATTTTTTTCTTGATATATATTCATTTATTAATTTATTTTATAGGGAATTTCTACTAAACATAATCCACAAAAAGTGGGTTCAACACATATTGTAGAAAATGAAGATGTTATTCAAGGTATTATTAACTATTATCATCATTATCATATCTATATAAAATATTGACACTTTTTTAATTCTTTGAAAAAAAAATTTAGTTGTTAAAAAAAAATAGATTTAATCAGTCAGTGTCTTATATAATTCATTAGGATCAATTAAAAATGATTATTTATTGTCTCATGTAATTCCTATTAATAGCTGATACATCACAAATTATATAATTAATTTTAAATGCTCATTTATTAATCAGTTTGGTTATCATAATATTTCAATCATTAATTAGAACATTGGTTTTTTTTTAAAATGTTCTATGGGACTTCTCCAGCAAATATCCTATCTGAAAATTCATCAATCATTTTGCATATTTAACCAATCATTTACTGGATGAAGGATTAAATAGGATTCACAATAATAATACATTTTATAATGAATCTCTTTTAATATTAATGAATTTTTATTTATCAGGCCAAATATTACCATCCATTCAAATAGTAATAGTACTAACCGCGTTACAACGAATTTAAAAAAGACTACGATAATATTAATATTAATGAACAATAATAAAATTGTTTAATTAAAATAAAAAAAATAACACCAAGAAATCTGTATAAATAAAGATGAAATTTTCTTTTATCAAATAAAAATTTTACGATTAAAACCTTTGAAAATGTCTCAACAACATCATCATCCATTAAAAACTGTATTGATCATTACAACGAATTTTGGTGATCAGTACCATTAAAACGATGCTTGAATGTATTAGTATTTTATACGGATGTCCGCATTTTTAAAATAAATGTGCTTATAACCAATTCACCTTGACAAATCTATGCCCTATAAAAGGCTATGTACATAATGGGTACTAATACCGAATAGATGCGGTCTGAATACGGAAAAGGCGTGTTTTGATATGGAATGCACCAGGCAAACACATTTTGATATGGAATAGATACTAATGTGGGAAAATGCGCTTTCACATACTAATACCAATACTAATACCTAAAAATATGGAAACCATGTGGAATTAGTTCTGGTAATTACAATAATAATAATAGTAAATGTAAATATTCACAATATAATAAAAATTTGAATGAACAACAACAGGAAAAAAAAAACAAAAAGAAATAATTAATAATTAGCATGCATAAATTAATAAAATAAACAAATAAATAGCTTTTATTGCGAAATAATTAATTTTGTTCCTTTGGTGTTAATGATTGAATTGAAATAATATTATTAAATGTATAAAGTTTAACGATCTTTAATGTTGCAACCAATATAATAACCACTAAAGTTAAAATATACATATATATAAGAACGGTTGATGTTTTTATGCAAGATACTTCCTTATTTTTTATATCCATCCAATCTTAACTTAATGTTAAATGTTAAATGAATACATACCAATGCGGAATATACATATTAATATAGAAAAAAATGGACTTTCACCTACAGAAGGGTCTGGACAATATAAAAAGACCATACCCATTTTGCATAGTAAGATTTCGAGATGTTGTTCTTTAAATCTTTTTTCAAATCACGATGTTCTTTTTTATTGCCCAGACCAAAAATACTTCCATATTTTTAGGATATTAGTATTGGAAAGTATATTTTTCCATATTAGTATGTATTCATTCCACATCTATTCAGCACTAGTACCTATTCTGTACATTGAAATGATCTTATTCTAGTTATGGGTACATTTTACTTTTAAAGTATAACATCAATTTAAAACTCTGGTTTGAGTCACTTTAAAATTTGACTCAATTCGTTCGGAGTCTTATACATATTAATATAATTAATATATATAAAATATACAATACAGTTATGTTACATTACGCCCCCTTTCTTTCTGCATTAATTAATATTGATATCAACATCTATCTATATAAATAAAACCAGTAGTTTTATTGCCATAAAAACATGGAAGAAGATAACGATATGCATAAAAAAGTATTCAGAAGGTTATAAAATATCAATTATTGATGACAAATATTAAATAAATTTATTTCACATGACGTTTGTCCGATCAAATTAAATATACAGTTCACTCTCTCTATAACGAACCTTCTGTCCCTATATCTAATTTCTCTGCTTTTGGTCGTTATAGAGAGAGTTTATTAAGATGGTCGTTATAGGGAGAGAAATTAATTATAAAAAATTGAAACGGGGACAAAAGGGAAGTTCGTTATAGAGAAATTTTACTTGGTGGTCGTTATAGAGAGGGTCGTTATAGAGAGAGTAGACTGTAACTCTAATTTCGAATTGATTAATAGTTGCGTGGACTGTGTGAACTTTGATGATGAAACAATTGAACAAGGCAGATGTTTTAAATCATAATGTTTTAGAAGATTCTAAAGTCCATATTGATGTTTCTGATAATAAGAATATAGAATACTTATAATAATTACAATCGGAAAAAATATTATTAATATATTTGAAGTTCCTTTCACAAATAAATCAAAAACGAAAAAAACTTTTTAATAATGATTAATTTTTTTACACTGAAAAAAGTTTGGATATAAATAACAACTTTTGGAATTTTGGAAAAGTGCTTTACGCTCTAGTAATAAATATCTTAATGTAAGGGGTGATGGAAATCATTAGACAAGAATTAATTCAAAACATGCCAAACCAAATATAAAAAATCATAAAAGAAGAAGCAGATTCTTTGAAGTTGAAGATGCTTCACGACAAGTAAGTTCTAAGGCTATAAATTTCGACGGTAGCGGTGATTTCAATAATTCATGACAATTTGATTTAGTTGTGTTGGTTGGATAAAATTCTAAAATTAATCATAAACAATATTAATTTCAACAGTCGAGGAAGAACCAGAATTGGAGGTAGCAACTTTTTTGATTGTTTAGACACTATCAAATTTATTGAACCTTTAACTTAATAAAATTTTTAAAAAAAAAAATTTTTATTTGATATTTTGTACATGAGAAATTCCAATTTGCAAGAAAGATACAAGCATAATAATTTAATAATTTACATAAATGTATATTTATATGAAGAGAAGAGGAATACTTAATATGTAAAGATAATTACTTCACTCATTCAACTAATCAATAAGTTCTAAAATAACACGGACCTCGCCATTAGATTTTGCATCATCCTTAGACTGTACACTACACCATTTATCAACGTATCTTTTATCATCAGCACGTTCAAACTCACTAAGCTCTAATGTCGCATCACCAATCTAATAATATGTTATTAAATATTGTGTGATTAAGCAAAATTTTTTATTTTAAATTAACAATTATATAAAAATTGCCAATATTTACAATGTCATCTTTGCCGACATCATCGTCTAGAAGTTGAAGATGTAGAACCTTTTGATTTTCATATTTGCTAAATTTTTGAGGAAAAGAGGATGTAAATAACAATAATATATTAGAAATAACAAATTATTATCATGAATTATATATATATATATATACACACTAACATTTTGAATTTTTTATCCCAAACAGGAGTGGCTGTTCCAGCCCTCGCATCAGTTCTATATTTTGTAGCAGAACTATCAAACCAAAATTGAATGTATGGATCACCTAAATAAATTAAAATAATTAACATAATGGTTTTCTGTGGAAGAGTTTTTTTAAAAATTTTTATCATACAAACCTTTGCCTATTAGTTATTTATATAAAAAGATATCAATTAAATTATTTTTAATTAAAAAAAATATTATAATTCAAATATACATTGTTTATTAATATATTCACTTCACATACCAATAGTATCAGTGTCTTTAACGTCTTTTGCTTCAACTATTTTTTAACAAAATTTTTTTAATAATTAGCGAATTAAAAATACTAATCAAATGATGTTTACTACTTTAATTTTCTCACCAATGTGAACTTCAATGTATTTATACATTATTAAATTTTTTAAAATTCAGAATTCAAAATAATTAATTTATTTTTGAAAGAATTGAAACAATTGTTTTAAAAACTCACTTTATTTTATGTTTCACGAAACTTAGTATAACATTTAAACAGGATTTAATTGCTGAAGTTGATACTTTCCGTCAAGAAATAATAAATAACAAGCCTATTCTAATTTTCCTTCATAAGAAAGCAACACAAGCACCAGATTAGAAAAAACGCCTTTCCTTCTTTCCTTAACAAAATTGTATAACATAAATTTAGTGATAATCATTTTTATCAGCATCATCATCATCATTATCGTCATCATCATTTAATAATATTAATAATTCAAGATGTGTTTCAAATTTGCCGAAATTAACGAATTCACCAAACCTTAACCCTCAAAAGCCCATCGTATCTTTGATGTTAGTATTAACAACCTCATCAAATCACTTTTTATTAATAGGGGACCAGACTATCTACCATATAATAACTACTTTATATTATTAATATGCACCATAAATTGGAGCAAACGAATATTTTTTTGAAATTGCTCAAAGAATATGGTGGATGACAATGTAGGATTAGGAACTGATATAGGCATTATTGATGGAATCATCATCATCATCATCATCATCATCATCATCATCATGATGAAAAACGACAACAAAAAATTCGGGAGAAAAATGCTAGTTGAAAAATTGATTTCGAGGCAGACTTTTCTTTTTTAAGAATAAAAAATAATGTTTCAGTACAAACCTATATTTGGTGGGTATAATGATTTGATTATTGGAATTTTCATTTCCCTCATCAAATCGCCAAGTATTATTTGTTAGAACCGAAAGAGAGAAAAACATTGCAACAGTCAAGATTATTTATAAAATCCGTCTTCCTATTTACTTGTCAAGAATCACATAAAGAAAAAGTTTCACAGCGTAAGAAAACTTGTGCGGACAATGACAGTAATAATAATAACAACAATAATAATCATCTTCAGGTTGAATCACATCCAACCAATTACAAAAAAACAAACGGCGCCTTTTATAAATATACACGCCACATTGAAGATTCTCCAACATCTGGTTTATTGGCATTGGCACAAACATGCTCTAGATTTCACTTTATCCTGACTGATAAGATAACTCTACAAATTTGGAAGAGGTCAAGATTGGCTTATTATTTCAACGGGCCAAAAAACGACCTCCACCACCAGGTTGGAATATATTTGATTTTCCTAGATTCGCTGTTTGTTTTGTGGCAATAATGTCAAATCAACTAAAATCCATTTGCAGTTTCATGTAAGATGCTGCGCTAGTTGTTACAATCAAAGATCCGGGCCAGTTCAGTAAGCGATTACTATTTGAAACCAATATATATATACACATTGAGAAAATAAATGAACTTGTTGGTGAAATTCTCCATTAGGTTGACAAAATACAAAGTTTATATTTACACCCATTCATGTCGTATAAAAGAGCAAGCAGTATTTCATTTCAGTGAAATTTATGAACCACCTCGGGTAGAATATTAGGGAAGGTTGAATGTCAAATCATATATGAAAGCACAGTGACAAATGTCGACAGAAAACCATTTTGAAATATATGTTAGAAAAATGGATTTGTGTTGGACCTACCCAACAAACAAATTACTGGAGATCGATAACCCTCTAAGTACTCTCAAGTTGTTCGTACCTACAAAGATCCTCGAAATGACCCCTACACCATCTACCTACTCGGTTGAATTTCTTGAGTCATATGCGATGTCGACATTAATAAAAGAGGTAAAATAGCTTGATCCTTATTTTCCTGAAGGAAATCTTACCTGCAATTCTTATGAGCATAGTTGAGACGGTAAATCATTAAAAGTTATTCCAGTCAATCCTTGTCAACTTTTCAAGCAACGATAAAAGTGATGTCAATGATGAAGGCATAAAAAAAGTTGAAGATTCAGCCAAAAAAGAAGGTACACACACACGAAAATATAATTCAAGGAAATAAAAATAACCATTTTTATTAGTTTTTTTATTAATATTAATTGTTATTTCTAAAATCACAATTAAATAAACCTTTCTTTTTTTAAATTATAAAATTATATTATTACATAAATAGTTCTAACAATTAAACAAAAAATAAATATATCTTTTTTAAAAAATTACTGTACACAATTTACACCCCCCGTTATGTATATATGTGTGTGAATGTATATATGACAATTTTATAATTTTTAACTTCATCTTATCTTGATTGATCGTTGTTATAAGGTTCATTACGATCAGGTTGATTATACCCTCTATTATTATTACCTGATACTGAGAATATTGGCGAGTGATTATCTTGTCGTTGTATTGGTGGTGAATTGTGCCCTCTATTACTGCCTGATGGTGATAATATTGGCGATTGATTATCTTGTCGTGGTATTGGTTGATTGGTCCTTGGATTAAGTTGGTGTGATGAAGGTGGTTGATTTGTTCTTGTATTAATTTGCATTTGATGTGGTGAATTTTGCCTTCTATTATTACCGCTCAGCGGTGATTGATTATCTTGTCTCTGTATTGGTTGATTTGTCATTGTATTGATATACATTTGATTTGATGGTTGATTTGTCCTTGTATTATCATACATTTGACGTGGTGAAGCAGACCTTGTATTATCATACATTTGACGTGGTGAAGCAGACCTTGTATTATCATACATTTGACGTGGTGAAACAGACCTTGTATTATTATTGTTGTTGTTGTTGTTGTTGTTGTTATTATTATCGTACACCTGATGTGATGTTGTTTGTGCTGAAGGTGGTGGACGTGGAGGTGATGGTGATGATGATGATAATGAGGATGAAGAAGAAGATGATGAGCCAGGAAATAACCGATCCGTAGATCGATTATAATGATAAGGATCTGGCATTGGCACTATCCTTTCGCGTGGCTGTGATGAGGCGGGTACGTTTCGATGTGTTTCAGGGGGTGATTTGGGTCCATTGTAAGGTGTAGGGTCAACCCATCCACTTGGAGTAGGAGTATTATCACCGGTTGCGATGCGGTTGCTTCTGGATAGATTGGCAGTTGTGTGGGATGGATTTACAGGAGAATAAAGATATCTGGAGCTATCAGTCGATGATATTGACAGTTTATTTTTTGCCAAGCGTCGCTTTTTACGAGAACGATAAACGCAATTACATATACTATTTATTGGGGGAAAAGTTTTTTTAGTTTCATTTTTTAAAAGAGAGGAAAGAAAAATAGTAATAATGACAATAATAACGACAATAATCAATATCATACCAAACTAATATCATAAGCCCGATAATTATTCCAACAGGAATAACTATTTTTAGGTTTTTTGCTATCCAAGATCCTATAGCTTGAACTTTTTTTAACATTAAAAGAAGATATCATCATTATTATTTGCAAATTACTTGAATAAATAAATTGATTGATTGATTAATTAATAATTTACATAGTGATCCATTAGCACATTGTCCTTTATTGCATCTGCCAGCAAGACCACACGGTGTCCCATCCACAAAATATCCACTCATTTCAAGACATGAACGAGTATCATTAGGATTTAAGCAACTTATTACACAACTCGTGGATTCAACAGATGAGCATGCTTTGGTGATACCCATTTTAGAACCGCGTACATTACATTGCGCATCTCTTGAAGTGCATATACCACCGGCACATTCAAGATTTGTGCCACAAGTAGTTCCATCATCAATGTGTTTATCCACAGGGCAATCCCCAGACGTGCCAGTACATACTTCGCTTATGTCACAATTAGAAGTTGGTGGTCGACAAACTATACCGGCAGTTTTATATTTACAATTTAGACAACACAGATCGTTTGAATCACTACAAGTATATACATGTGAATTTGCATACAAATTGTTAGTTATATGAATACTTTATTCATTAAATTATTCTAGCAATCAAAATAAATAGTCAACTTACGCGCATACAGCACCAGGTTTGAATTTACAAGTAGTGCCAT